ATGAAAAGAAGAAGAAGAAGAATGAAAAGAAGAAGAAGAAGAATGAAAAGAAGAAGAAGAAGAATGAAAAGAAGAAGAAGAATGAAAAGAAGAATGAAAAGAAGAAGAAGAAGAATGAAAAGAAGAAGAAGAATGAAAAGAAGAATGAAAAGAAGAAGTATTCCAGTACAGCAAAAAGTGTATCTGCAGAGAGCTCCGCTATTTCTGACAGTTCTGACAGTTCCTTCACATTTACAGCGGTTGAAACATTGTATCTATTTATTTCCGAATAAAAACATCTGTATCCTAAATGGAAACAAATAGATACAATGTTTCAACCGCTGTAAATGAACTGTCAGAACTGTCAGAAATAGCGGAGCTCTCTGCAGTGACACTTTTGCCGGCTGATCGGGAAAAATTCGATTCGTGCATCCGAAGTTTGCTAAAATTCGGATTCGATGCGAATCGAATTTTTCCTGAAATTCGAAACGAATTCCACTTCGCCAGGTTTGATTCGCTCATCTCTAGTGCTAAATAAACAAAGGACAAAGTCTTTCACTGTGTTTGTTTTTTTACATCCAAGAGACTCCATTATGCTTGGAATGTCCTTCTCATACACAGACCGAATGTTCTCCCTCCCTTCTCAAGGCTTTCATCTCACAACTTTTGGACACAGCTGTTGACACATGAAATGGGACATTATTCTAGTTGCTGGTTTTTAATAACATCTCACACCACTCCCTTCTTATCTTGGTGTAGTGCCCCCCCCAACCCCTGGCAGCATGGTGGTTACCCCCAAAGACAGGTAGGGCTGACCTTTCTCCTCAGGGTGCAGGTTTCTAGGCAATGTGGGTGGTGGACAGTGTAGACCAGGGGTGTCAAACTGGCAGCCCTCCAGCTGTTGCGAAACTACAGCTATACTGTAAGAACTTCCTATTGCATCCCTGTACCATGTGATCGCTGTGACCAATCACTGAGACAATAGGAATGTGGCCCAATGAATGACAGCCATTGGAAATTACTATTTACTGTGATTGGTCACAGCAATCACATGGAACAGGGTCAATCACGGCGGCCCTGTGCTCTGATTTGTGATTTGGTGGTTTTATATGTCTTGTCATTTTGTATTTGTAGGCGTATCCTCAGGATTCTGATTTAGACAGGTGTTTTTCATTAATGCCTATATAAGACAGCAGTCTTGATGTTTTCTTTGTTATGATTAGGCATGTGATCGTGTGAAATGCGTTAACAAGTCCTGCACATATGTGCTGGTGTTCTATGTGTCTGATGGATCAATAAATATTAGCTATATTCATAGTGATTGGTCACAGCGATTACATGGTACAGGGATGAAATAGGAGGAAAGGTTAGCCGGTGTGCGAGCCACTGTTTATTACTATCATCTCAGTGACTGATCACAGTGATCACATGGTACAGGGAAGAAATAGGAAGAAAGGTTAGCCAGTGTGCGGGCCACTGTTTATTACTATCATCCCAGTGACTGATCACAGCGATCACATGGTACAGAACATAAATGCTATAGGTGCTGTTAGGGTGCTCCTGTGTGTACGGCACTGTGTGGTGCCCATTGTAGTTTTCATGGCAGGCACTGTAGGGTGGTTATGAGGCTTTTAATATACTTCTTAAATGCCGCTCAACCATTTTACTCTCAGGACGAATTCTGAGATTTCTCACATATAAAAATCTGCATTTTTTTTTGCTAGAACATTACTTTGAACCCCCAAAACATATACACTCACCGGCCACTTTATTAGGTCCACCTGTTCAATTGCTTAGTAATGCAAATTGCTTATCAGCCAATCACACGGCAGCAACTCAATGCATTTAGTCATCTAGATGTGGTGAAGACGACTTGCTGAAGTTCAAACCAAGCATCAGAATGGGAAGAAAGGGGTTTGAAGTGACTTTGAACGTGGCATGGTTGTTGGTGCCAGACGGGCTGGTCTGAGTGTTTCAAAAACTACTGATCTACTGGGATTTTCATGCACAAAAATTACATTCACACCAGTGGCCTGCTGGAGGTCATTTTGTAGGGTTCTGGCAGGGCTCATCCTGTTCCTCCTTGCACAAAGGAGCAGATACTGGTCCTGCTGATGGGTTAAGGACCTTCTAATTTCCTGTCCAGCTCTCCTAGAGGAACTGCCTGTCTCCTGGAATCTCCTCCATGCTCTTGTCTCCTGGAATCTCCTCCGTGCTCTCGTCTCCTGGAATCTCCTCCGTGCTCTCGTCTCCCGGAATCTCCTCCGTGCTCTCGTCTCCCGGAATCTCCTCCGTGCTCTCGTCTCCCGGAATCCCCTCCGTGCTCTCGTCTCCCGGAATCCCCTCCGTGCTCTCGTCTCCCGGAATCCCCTCCGTGCTCTCGTCTCCCGGAATCCCCTCCGTGCTCTCGTCTCCCGGAATCCCCTCCGTGCTCTCGTCTCCCGGAATCCCCTCCGTGCTCTCGTCTCCCGGAATCCCCTCCGTGCTCTCGTCTCCCGGAATCCCCTCCGTGCTCTCGTCTCCCGGAATCCCCTCCGTGCTCTCGTCTCCCGGAATCCCCTCCGTGCTCTCGTCTCCCGGAATCCCCTCCGTGCTCTCGTCTCCCGGAATCCCCTCCGTGCTCTCGTCTCCCGGAATCCCCTCCGTGCTCTCGTCGCCCGGAATCCCCTCCGTGCTCTCGTCTCCCGGAATCCCCTCCGTGCTCTCGTCGCCCGGAATCCCCTCCGTGCTCTCGTCTCCCGGAATCCCCTCCGTGCTCTCGTCTCCCGGAATCCCCTCCGTGCTCTCGTCTCCCGGAATCCCCTCCGTGCTCTCGTCTCCCGGAATCCCCTCCGTGCTCTCGTCTCCCGGAATCCCCTCCGTGCTCTCGTCTCCCGGAATCCCCTCCGTGCTCTCGTCTCCCGGAATCCCCTCCGTGCTCTCGTCTCCCGGAATCCCCTCCGTGCTCTCTTCTCCCGGAATCCCCTCCGTGCTCTCGTCTCCCGGAATCCCCTCCGTGCTCTCGTCTCCCGGAATCCCCTCCGTGCTCTCGTCTCCCGGAATCCCCTCCGTGCTCTCGTCTCCCGGAATCCCCTCCGTGCTCTCGTCTCCCGGAATCCCCTCCGTGCTCTCGTCTCCCGGAATCCCCTCCGTGCTCTCGTCTCCCGGAATCCCCTCCGTGCTCTCGTCTCCCGGAATCCCCTCCGTGCTCTCGTCTCCCGGAATCCCCTCCGTGCTCTCGTCTCCCGGAATCCCCTCCGTGCTCTCGTCTCCCGGAATCCCCTCCGTGCTCTCGTCTCCCGGAATCCCCTCCGTGCTCTCGTCTCCCGGAATCCCCTCCGTGCTCTCGTCGCCCGGAATCCCCTCCGTGCTCTCGTCGCCCGGAATCCCCTCCGTGCTCTCGTCGCCCGGAATCCCCTCCGTGCTCTCGTCGCCCGGAATCCCCTCCGTGCTCTCGTCGCCCGGATTCCCCTCCGTGCTCTCGTCGCCCGGAATCCCCTCCGTGCTCTCGTCGCCCGGATTCCCCTCCGTGCTCTCGTCGCCCGGAATCCCCTCCGTGCTCACATCCTGTTCCACCTTGCACAAAGGAGCTGATACTGGTCTACCTGATGGGTTAAGGACCTTCTATGGCCCTTCCCAACTCTCCTAGAGTAACTTCCTGTCTCCTGGAATCTCTTCCATGCTCTTGAGACACAGAAAACTGTCTGGCAATGACACGTATTGATCTGCGACTTACCTGACCAGATCAATATCCCAGGAGTGTCATTGACTTGATGCGACTCAGATTACAAAGTCTGCATTTCATTTTTTTGAGCAGCGTACATACAGTGATATTGAGGTGGACAAAAGGATACACGTGTGGCACTCTATGCAACATTTTCTTTTGTATTTTTTGTAATTTTACATTTTTCTACAGATTTTTATGCGCCCCCCCCCCCCCAAAGGATATTAAATGATAAGGGTGCTTTTTGGGTACTAAGCTAAGAATTTGTACTCCTAACATAACATTTTGTTGCTACCAGCATTTTATTTTCCGGGTCCTTTGCTTTTAGAACAGCGAAAGAATTCTTCAGGCCACAAAAGCGCATTTGGAATAGAAAAAAAAAATTGTGAAAGTGAAAGGCTGAACAGTAGTTGTGTGGATTGAACGCCCCGATGATGAAATGGTTAAGACACGAGTCCTGCCCTGTCCTTGTTTTTCTATTTGCATTTTTTCCCCAATAACTTCCTGTTCCTTCTCAGTCTGTTTCCAAGGACGGAGCAGTCAGGTACGTTGTATCCACACTCGTTCATTACATGCGGAGCATTGTTATTGTTATATATATATATATATATATATATATATATATATTTTTTTTATATATATAATTTTAAAAGGGGGAACTTGTTCTATAAATGGGGGGAGTTTAAAGATCGTGATGAATTTCACTCATTAGGATCCTGTAGACTCATATTTTTGCAGCAGGCAGCAAAGTAAGCTTTAACCATATGAATTACATCCAGCTTTAATAAGAAGGGTCTGCAGTACTCTAGAGGGGCATGATGACGTCATGATGAGGGGTGGCTAGAAGACTGGTTGGAGGTGGGCTCAGACTCCAGCTGTGATCACTGATCTTCACTCCCAGTGACGGGCTGTAGAGGGTTATGTAACAGCGAATTCATGCAGGTTAAAGTGTATCCAAACCCAAGAAAAAAAAGTGTTGGCATACCCCATTCCACTGTCCTTATCACCGCCATACCCCATAGCAGCCCATAGCAGCATCCCCATAAGCACCACCTGTCATCCCCATACCAGCATCCTGATCACTGTCATACCCCATACCAGCATCCTGATCACTTCCATACCCCATACCAGCATCCTGATCACTGTCATACCCCATACCAGCGTCCTGATCACCGCCATCCCCCATACCAGCGTCCTGATCACCGCCATCCCCCATACCAGCGTCCTGATCACCGCCATCCCCCATACCAGCGTCCTGATCACCGCCATCCCCCATACCAGCGTCCTGATCACCGCCATCCCCCATACCAGCGTCCTGATCACCGCCATCCCCCATACCAGCGTCCTGATCACCGCCATCCCCCATACCAGCGTCCTGATCACCGCCATCCCCCATACCAGCGTCCTGATCACCGCCATCCCCCATACCAGCGTCCTGATCACCGCCATCCCCCATACCAGCGTCCTGATCACCGCCATCCCCCATACCAGCGTCCTGATCACCGCCATCCCCCATACCAGCGTCCTGATCACCGCCATCCCCCATACCAGCGTCCTGATCACCGCCATACCCCATACCAGCGTCCTGATCACCGCCATACCCCATACCAGCATCCTGATCACCGCCATACTTCATACCAGCGTCCTGATTACCGCCATACCCCATACCAGCATCCTGATCACCGCCATACCCCATACCAGCATCCTGATCACCGCCATACCCCATACCAGCATCCTGATCACCGCCATACTTCATACCAGCGTCCTGATTACCGCCATACCCCATACCAGCAGTCTGATCACTGCCATACCTCTTATGTGCGTTCTGATCCCCGCCATACCACATAGCAGCATTCTAATCACCGCCATACCTTATACTAGCATCATGATCACCACCATACTTTGTACCAGCGTCCTGATCACCACCATACTCCATACCAGTGTCCTGATCACCACCATACCCCATACCAGTGTCCTGATCACCACCATACCTCATACCATCATCCTGATCACCATCATGTGCCATACTAGAGTCCTGATCACCATCATATGCCAATTCAGCATCTTGAACACTGCCATACCATCATCCTGATCACCATCATATGCCAATTCAGCATCTTGAACACTGCCATACCAGCATCCTGATCACGACCATATGCCATACCAGTGTCCTGATCACCACCATATGCCAATCTAGCATCTTGAATGCCGCCATACCCCATACCAGCATCCTGATCACCGCCATACACTATGCCAGCGCCCTGATCACCGCCATACCCCATATTTGCATTCTGATCACTGCCATACCCCATACCAGCATCCTTATCACCACCATACTCCATACCAGCACCCTGATCACCACCATACCCCATACCAGTGTCCTAATTGCAGCAATACCAGTGTTCTGATCACCGCCGGACCCCATACCAGCGTCCTCATCACTCTCATACCAGCATCCTTATCCCCGCTTTACCCCATACCAGCATCCTGATCACTGTCATACCTTAAACAAGAGTTCTTATCCCAGCCATACCTATGTCCTGATTACAGCCACATGACATACTAGCTTCCAGAATAATGCCATACCCCATACCAGCGTCTTGATCATTACAATATGCCATACCAGCATTCTGATCCCTGCCATACCACATAGCAGCATTCTGGTCACTGTCATACCTTATAGCAGTGTCCTAATCACCAACATACCTCATACCAGCATCCTATAAACCCCCATATGCCATATCAGCATCTTGATCACTATCATATGACTTATCCCATGCCAGTGTCCTGATCGTAGCCATATCAGTGTCCTGATCACTGCCAAACCACCGTCCTGATCATTGCCATACTATTGTCTTGACCACTGCCATTCTAGTGTCCTGATAACCACCATACTAGTGTCCCCCCGTAGTTTCCACTATCCTTTTGCTTCAAGGCCAAAAATGTGATAGGTAGTCAGGAAATTAAAAGAATAATTTATGTCCTAGAAAGCCTCAAGGCGCTTCTTGGATTTTGGGCCTGTTAGTGTGGCTAGACTGTGAAAAAAGCCTCACACATGTGGTATCTCCATACTTGGGAGAAGTAGCAGAATGTGTTTTGGGGTTCAATTCTAAGTATGCCCATGTTGTGTATGTGTTTGTGAGGATTATCTTATTAATTTGACAACTTTGTGTAAAAATGTATTTTCATTTCCTTTTTGAATTTGCCAAAAACCTGTGCCAAAAAATGAAATCTTTAAAAAAGGTACCATGTTTATTATCAATTATCTTGGAGTGTTTACTCTCCAAATTGTGGTCATTTTGTGGGTGTTTCTACTGTCCTTGTGTTTGAGGGTCCTAGAAAATGTGAAAGGTTGTAAGGCAATTAGATGTGTAATTTATGCCCTTAGGAAGCCTAAATGTGCTCCTTAGATTTTGGGCCCTTCTCTGTGGCTAGGCTGTGAAAAGGTCTCAAGCATGTGGTATCGCCATATTCAGGAGTAGCAGAATGTGTTTTGGGGTGTATTTCTAAGTATATCTATGCTGTTTGTTAGAAATATCTTATTAATTGACAACTCTGTGTAAACAAAATACAGTTTCATGTTTTTTTTTCTAAATTTTTAAGAAACTTTTGGCAAAAAATGACATTTTCAAAAGACTCGCTATGCCTTTCAGAAAATACCTTGGAGTGTTTACTTTCCAAAATGTTGTCATTTTTTTGTGGGTGTTTCCATTGTCCTAGTGCTTCAGGGCCTCCAAAAATGTGATAGGTAGTCAGAAATTAACATAGATTTGTAATTTATTGCCCCTGGAATGTCTGAAGGTGCTCCTTGGATTTTGGGTCCCTCTATGCATCTAGGCTGTGAAAAGGTCTCATACGTATGGTATCACCATACTCAGGAAGAGTAGCAGAATGTGTTTTGGGGTGTAATTGTAAGTATAAAAGAACATACAAGGGGCACAAACACCTAAAGCATTACCCAAAATGTATTCAGAGAAATCTAAAAAGCCAATAGCATACTCACAAATGACAGAAGAATTAGTGCATGCAAAAACTACCGATGGTCATCCAATATGGTAGCAGGAATCCCAACTGTTGGTGATGTCGGCACGCTGATGCATTTCAGGGATGGGTCCCCTTCCTCAGAGCTAAAGCCGACAGCTACTCAAATCCTAATATATGTGTGCAGTAGGAAGCACATGATCGCTCAGGACCCCTCCCCTCAATGGGGAGCCAATAAGACACAAGAGGCAGATTTTAAAAAGAAGTGGGGGGAGGAGAGGTGCTACTTCCACCAAGCCCCCTATGCTTCAACTCACTAGTAACTCCAATCGGAGCAATGTAACTATATATAAGACAGTGTATATATATATACATATAATTCACAATAAATAGTTGTGGAGCGAACGACCAGGAGTAAAACTGGCCAAACTTGTTGAAAATGTAAGGGGAACTAAAAACTTACCCCGCTATTTCCAGTGGCTCAACGGTCGACCTTCAGGGGATTGATGTTAGACTCAGGGACTGGTGAATATTCTCAATTTTCCAGACCAGAAGTGTGCTGCAATTACGTCACATCTGGGAGAAAACCGGAAGTGATGAGGGCAAGTCCCGCAACACAAAATGACACCACAAGTAACGGGCAGTATGCTCACCTTTGATGGAGGGGGAACGCGGCCATACCCCCTGGTATGGCTAAACCGGGTCTCTGGGGACAATGGTCGTCTGCTGCGGTGGAGCTTGGCCCTCCAACCCTATAACTTTACAATCCAGTACCAACCAGGGAAGCAAAACGCCAACACGGATGGGTTGTCCCAGCAAGCTGAGTTGGAGAAGTGACCCTCTGAACCGACCAGCCCCAAGCGGACCCATTTGAAAGTCTCACCCGGGTCTGGTGGGTGTTACACAACGGGGGAGCCTTGTGAGGAACTGTCCCTGCGTGGTAACATTTTGCCCTTTCTGTTCCAGCTTTCTCCCCTTTGTAAATCTGGACATGTTTCACAGACATTCTACACTGTTTGTTTAGGGAAATGTGACCTTGTAGTCTTTCACTTCTAATAGAGTTCATACTGTATTGTTGGTTGTAGGGTTTTGTTGTGGGTGGGGAAAACCCGTTGACAGGCTGTCTTGGGTGGGTGGGGGTGAAGTTGTATATACTGAGTTGTGTTTAATAAAGAGTCATTCATTCTCACCCTACATGAAGTTCCGACTCGTGGTTTGGGAGAGCAGGGAAGGGAGTGTTTTGAGCTATAATACCTGCCTTGGCAGAGCACTGGAAGCCTTGCTGGGAAGTGGGACCATTGGCTGAGACACACTGCACCGCACGAGGAAGCCTAGGCGGAACGGTTCCGCCACACATGTAAATTTTCTGTCCCCTCAAAATAACTCAACACACAGCCATTAATGTATAAACCGCTGGCAACAAAAGTGAGTCCACTCCTAAGTGAATATTGGGCCCAATTAGCCATTTTCCCTCCCCGGTGTCATGTGACTCGTTAGTGTTACAAGGTCTCAGGTGTGAATGGGGAGCGGGTGTGTTAAATTTGGTGTTATCGCTTTCACTCTCTCATACTGGTCACTGGAAGTTCAACATGGCACCTCATGACAAAGAACTCTCTGAGGATCTGAAAAAAAGAATTGTTGTTCTACATAAAGATGGCCTAGGCTATAAGACGATTGCCAAGACCCTGAAACTGCGCTGCAGCATGGTGGCCAAGACCATACATCGGTTTAACAGGACAGGTTCCACTTAGAACAGGCCTCGCCATGGTCCACCAAAGAAGTTGAGTGCACGTGCTCAGTGTAATACCCAGAGGTTGTCTTTGGGAAATAGACGTATGAGTGCTGCCAGCATTGCTGCAGAGGGTGAAGGGGTGGGGGGTCAGCCTGTCAGTGATCAGACCATACGCCGCACACTGCATCAAATTGGTCTGCATGGCTGTCGTCCCAGAAGGAAGCCTCTTCTAAAGATTATGCACAAGAAAGCCCCCAGTTTGCTGAAGACAAGCAGACTAAGGACATGGATTACTGGAGCCATGTCCTGTGGTCTGATGACGTCCAAGATCAACTGATTTGGTTCAGATGGTGTCAAGTGTGTGTTGCGGCAACCAGGTGAGGAGTACAAAGACAAGTGTGTCTTGCCTACATTCAAGCATGGTGGTGGGAGTGTCATGGTCTGGGGCCCCATGGTGGTGGGAGTGTCATGGTCTGGGGCTGCATGAGTGCTGCCGGCACTGGGGACCTAGAGTTCATTGAGGGAACCATGAATTCCAACATGTACTGTGACATACTGAAGCAGAGCATGATCCCCTCTCTTCAGAGACTGGGCCGCAGGGCAGTATTCCAACATAACGACCCCAAACACACCTCCAAGACCACAACTGCCTTGCTAAAGAAGCTGAGGGTAAAGGTGATGGACTGGCCAAGTATGTCTCCAGACCTAGACCCTATTGAGCATCTGTGGGGCATGCTCAAATGATAGGTGGAGGAGCGCAAGGTCTCCAACATCCACCAGCTGCATGATGTCATCATGGAGGAGTGGAAGAGGACTCCAGTGGTAACCTGTGAAGCTCTGGTGAACTCCATGCCCAAGAGGGTTAAGGCAGTGCTGGAAAATAATGTCAGACACACAAAATATTGACACTTTGGGCCCAATTTGGACATTTTCACTTAGGGGTGTACATTTTTTGTTTATTTAAAATCTAGCAAACATAAAGTTTATTAATAAAAGCATATTTACATATATAGAAAAAATAAAAATGAATATATATCTATATAAATAAACAAAACCAAACAAGCTTACATCAGCAAATAGCAGAAAAGAAAATGTCTTTTTTCTGAAAATAACATAAAAAGAACTATATACAAAGAAACAAAATGTTATTATCCGAAAACGTATTAAATTATGCAAAACTCAACCCGGCCTCCACCTAAACACACCCTCAGGCTAAGAAACAATTAAACATTTATCGCATATATGCCGCCTTTTTCCAAAAATCTGATCTTACAAAAATCTAGGGGATGTGAAAGGACAGAGTAGCCACGCCCCCAGAGACTGACAGACAGCAGCTACGGGGACCTGACATTCCTCCACGCCTTTGTCCAGGCTCCCGGCCGCCACCTAGCCTTCTCAAGACCTCGAATCTTGCCAACCTCACCCAGAATGTTGTGCACCACCACCTCGACAGGGAGGACTTTTTTGCGAATGGAAACCTGACACCGTGCATTCCACGTGTAGTAACGGACTACTGAGCTAACTAGAAAAGTGTCTCAAAATCAAAATCCCAGTGAGCTTAAAAGGTTCCGTAAGACCACTCCACGTAACACAAGCGGGAAAGGAAATGGATACCCAGAGCCCCACCCACCTGCTTGTAAACTGCTATTTTGAAGGGGC